GGACCAGCCTGGCCGCCTGGCTGGCCTGGAGTCCAGACCAGTGGGAGGTCGGAGGGGTGCTGGTGCTTGGGTGGAGGGGGCTCCGTCAGGTTTGTGCACAGCTGTTAAATTCCTGCGTCACTCTGGGCTGTCCCCAGGCTCATTCTTCTCCTGTTCACCCTACAGACCTTCACTGGCCACCTACTCGGTGCCTGGTGCCCTGCTGGGCCCTGGGGACATCATGGGGGACAGGTAGGCATGGTTCTTTGGGCTCACATTTTACCAAAGAAGATGACAAATCTCTCGGTGACTTAATGAATCGCCAAGGTGGTAAGTTAGCGAAGGAGAAGGAACGCCCCCTTTAGTGGGGTGTGGGGCTGCAGGGGTGGGGCCTACAGGGGGGAAGGGCCTCGGTGCCCCTGCTCGGCAGCCCCAGATGGGATCTGGGATCTCCGTCACCTCCCCGAGCCTCAGTGTCACACCCGTGGAATGGGGACATAGTATGTTGGGGACGATACTTGCTCCGTGCTGGGCACGTAGCACAAGCCCAATAAATACATTTTGTTGGTGTGACTGCCCGAGAGGGGACCGAGGGTGACGTCCGCCCAGCAGCACGCTGGCGCCGAGGGCTGCCGTGAGGTTGTCCAGGGCAGTGCCCAGGGACCAGCCCTGCTGTGGCGCTAGCTTCGGTCCGGGTCCGAGCGCACCAGCCTCTGCCTCCCGCCTGGCGGTGGAGGTAGGCTGCCCATTCTGAGGGCGAAATGAGAGGACTCACTCTGGCACCCACGTGCCCGGCACAGCCAGAGGTTACCATGACAGCGTGGCAGCTGGTCCTCACGGTGTACCAGGCCAACCTCTGAAGGCCAGAAGAGCGCCATCATCTGCCGAGCCAAATCCCCTCTTCTGGGGAAAGGCGCCCTGCCCTTATTTCTGCATTTGGTCCCCGCTCCGAATGGGCATGTGGGGTTGCAGGCCATGGAGGACAGGAGCTCGTGCCCAGGCGGCCAGAGACGGCCCTTCCCTGCACTCCTGGGGGAGGCTGCCTGCCCCCTCCACCCTCCAGTCTTGGACTCCTGATGGGAGACACTGGGGGTGGGGCTTCCAGCCAAGGTCCCCCGAGGGGCCTCCTGGCTGCCCAGTGGCTGGTCCTGGTCCCCCCCCCACCACGTCCCTGTGGACTGCAGGAGTATCACTGAGGAGCGAGCACAGGAAGGGCCAGGAAGGAGGCTGTGGACGGCCTCGCCGAAAGGCCAGAGTGGAAAGGAGGGCAGTGTTTACTGAGGCAGGAAACCGGGACCGAGGTGAGGCGCGGCGGAGGCCAGGCAGGCCAGAGGAGCCACCCAACAGCGGGCGGTGACCTCACCTCCTGCACAGGCTCAGTCACGATCTTTCCTTGACATTTGCCGCGTGTGCGGCGGAGCCCGGGCTGACAGGCGGCGGGGCGAATGGTCACTGACATGTGCTGATGGAGGCCACTTGGGCAGGACGCGAGAGGCCGCGCCAAGGGGGGCGGGGCAGGCTTCTGCGGCGAAGCTGGGCAGCCTGTTCGAGCGCATTAGGCTCAGGAAGGCACCGGCTCTTCGCTGTCTAATTGCAGTTAGCGCAGTTAGCGCAGCGGCCCCGGACCTGCTTGGCCAGAGCGTTGCTTTGTGCAGCTGTCCTGCCGGAGCCAGGCGGGTCCCTCGTGGCCTCCTAGAGGCCACTCTGCCCAAGCTGGGCCTGCAGCCGCCCTTCCCAAAGCCCCCACTTCCCTCCCCCTGCACAACGCCCCTGGCTCTTATACCGTTCTTCCCCTGCGGGAAACTGAAGACAACGCCGCCGTCTGGGAGCCACCGGCTACAGAGTCAGTTCTGAGGCTGCGCCTGGCTAGTTCCCTGGGCCACTTCCAGGTCAGTCCAGGTGTTTGTCATGTACCTACCCTGACCCTGGTGCACACCTCCCCTCTCCAGAGAACACCAGCCCACAGGCAGTTTAGCCTGGTGGGTCTCTAGTTAATTTGCATTCCCAAGATCTCAGCGCACAGGACTCCTACGCCAACAGCCCTGTCACTGGAGGGAGGCTGGGCCCAGAGGCGCACCCCCTGGCGCTTCAGCAAGTGCTCCAAACCGGTAGCTACGGCTCTACTGCTGCTGGCTGCGTTTTACTCGTCAGTGGGGAGAAGCCCAGACTGTCTAGACGACAGGTAAAGATGCTCACGCCGGGCACGGCCAGCCCTTGGTGTGGGGAGGGCAGTGAGTGGGATGCTGACCTTCTGGAAGTGCGGCATGTGCCAGAGGGCAGTCAGCTTCACGGGCGGCTTGTACTTCCTCAGCTGACTGCTCCGGGTCTCGTACAGCTTCCCGAGGATCACCTGTGGGCCAGAGGAGTGCAGAGCCCGTCACCCGGCTGCCGAAGCAGGCGCGAGGAAGGGGCTGGAGGACAGAAGGCCGGAGCCAGGCGGGTAGAGGGAGGGGCCCTGGCCCTTACCTGAGGCCATTTCAGGCACCTGACCTGGCCCCGGCCACCCTAGCTGTAGGGGCACGGAGCCACGGGACGCCCCACACTTGTTCCCATTTCTGGTTCAGCTCCAGGACACTGAGGTCTGTACGTGGTGGCTTTGAGGGCCGGGACGGCGTCCCAGGCTGCTGTGTGCTTGCCTTCGGAGGCCAACACTGCCTGGTGGTTTGGAGCGACTGGATGAAGCCTGCGTGCCCTGAGGGGTCGTTACTGACCCTGGAGCAGGTCCCCACGATGACCCGCCCGGGGAGAAGACACTCCTTCCGGGAGAGGGGCTCAGGGGCTCAGGCCAGAGTGCACGAGGCCTCTGCAGGTGGATTCCAGGGACACCAAGGAAGCCCACTGCTGCCATCCGCATGCCCTGTGCCTGCTGGTCCATCATTACAGTCCTTGCTCATGGGGCCCGGGATGGACTGAACTGGCCCCTCCCTAAGCCCAGACTGTGGAGACGAGCGCTTCAAGGAGGTGGTGAGGGTAAATGGAGTCCTAAGGGTGGGGCCCCAGTCTGACAGGGCCAGCGTCCCCGTGAGAAGACAGGGACCAGAGCTCTTTCTCCACCAGGTGAGGACATGGCCAAGAGGTCAGTGAGAGAGGCCTCAGGAGGAAGTAGTCTCACGGCGCCTGCATCTGGGCCTCCCAGGCTCCACAACCACGAGACAGGCGCCTGCTGTTAAGGCCTGCGGCTGGCAGTAGTTATCCAGGGCAGATGAAGGCGGGGTCTAGGCTTCCAGCCTCAGAGCCAGCTGGGAAGGCCCTCGGGTCTGCACTCTCCACACGCACCCTAGGAGACCTGGGTGCACAGTCAAGCCTGAGAGATCCCTGCCAAAGTTCAAGAAGCCCATAGGGGGGGACCAGCAGTTAGCATAATAGCTATGTTGCTGGACTCCCACGTAGTTGACTGCAGTTCGTGTCCCGGACCTGGTGGCTTAAAAAACTCACGCCGGGCACGTGTGTGTGCGTGCCCAAGATCCCGAGAGAATGGAGGAGAAGGGGATTGCAGCATGGCCATCCCCCTGGGGGGTGATTTCTCGCTTTCTGTCTCTCTGTCTCTCCCTATAGAAAAAACCCCCCCCAAAAAAAAAAAAAAAAAAAAAAAAAAAAGAACCCCACAGGGAAGGAGCAGCTCAGTCCTGTTCATACCCAGAGCCTTGAAGAGGGGTCGGGACCCACACCTGGGGTGGACGGGTGCCAAAGAGGGATCCAGGAGGGTGTGCCGCTATGGAGGAAGGCCACACCCGCGGTCCCATCTCAGTTCTCACCACCTGGGTGTGGGCATGGCTGTTACCTGAGGCTCAGAGAGACCTGCAAGCTCTCCTGAAATCACAGAGCCGGGCGAGGCTGCGCCCTGGATGGCCTCTCCTGTCATTTGTCAGCCCTGCCAGGCAGGTGTGCGCTGCATGCGGGTGCGGGTGGGTGCCCAGGCACCCCACCGAGAGGTCTACTTGGGGATTTATCTACACCGATGGTAGGTAGTGCACACCAAGGGCTTCTGAGGGCCCGACACGCT